GAAATACTGTCAATCTTTGGACTTTAGGGCTTCCCTTGACCCTTTTTGAGATGGTTTCATGTAGCCTGGGCTGGCCTCAAACTTACTGTATTGCCCAAAATGCCCTGAATTCTTCATCACCCTGCCTCTACCTCCCAGAGTTTATCATCTTTACATATATAGATTCCTTTATCTTGCTTATCCAGGCTTATCAATCCCCACTGCTAAAAAAAACAAAATAAACAAAACAAAACCAAAAAAATCTCCCATTTGACCTTTTCTTTCCTCTGTCCTCACTTCTTGCCTGGATCTGATCATTCGTGATTTCTCAAGGCCTATTATCAGTCAAGCAGAGAGCTAAGCCCTGATCCCTGCTCCTGGGAAGCGCACATGTGACACTAACAAGAGTTGTTATTTGCAGGTCTCTGTCACCAGACTGCAAGCTTTAGCAAAGGCTTTGTATCCCAGAAGCTAGCAGCATCTGTCATCTAGCAGATACTGAAAACCTTTGTGTGGCTAGATTACTTTGGCAAGTTCTTTTTTTAATCCATAAATATTTTTGTATGCATCTTCAAGGACTCATTTTCTTTCCTTTTTAAAATACAAAAGCAAAGCCCGGCATGGTGGTACACGCCTTTAATCCCAGCATTTGGGAGGCAAATGAAGGTGAATCTCAGTGAGTTCGAGGCCAACCTAGTCTACATAGACAGTTCCAGGCCAGCTGTCGCTACAGGCAGACCTTGTCTCAAAAAGACCAAAAACAAACAAACAAACAAACAAACAAACAAATAAGTAAAAATTAAAAATACAAAAGCAATACATGTTCAATGCAAACAACAAACCCCAAACAAGCAAGCAAACACCCAAACAGACAAAGGTATAAGGCTTAAAACTCAATTCCCCAAGCTCCTACATCCCATTTCTTTAGTGGCCATTATGGTGTTATAGGCACCTTTGCAGAACTGGCCCACACCAGTATGACACATACATACCCCACTCTCTGCAACAAGCTCTTTGGCAGTTTCTGATTAGCTTTTTAACATCCTTATCTAGTGGCTCACCAAGGGTGGCCTTTAGACTAGCAGTATCCAGCATTATCTGGAAATCTGTTAAAACTGCAAATTCTCAGGCCCTTCTCAAGACCTCCTGAATCAGAAATTCTGGAGGAAAGCCAAATGATTATGGGAGCTAATGAGCTGTCTAGGTGGTCAATGCACACTAGAAGTTGAGAACCACCATTCTAATTCAGTCAAGCCAGTGTTTTTACTGTCCCTAAACATAGCAGGCATTGTTATTTTGTCTCAGTTTTATCACTCCTGCTTCAAAATGCCTTCCTTGTCCCTTTGATTAATTCTGACACTATCAACCTCTCAAGCCCTGAATGATCTAATTTTCCTCTGCAAGTGGTCTCACTAGCACAATTCATACTATTCCTCTGGATATCTTCCTCCAACTCCAACACACTTAATCCCTCTACCACATCCCTTAACAATGTAACAATGAGCTATATTCTGTCTTCAAGGTTAGAGAATGTTCTCTTCTTTTCTACACCTTGAACTCTAAGAGTTGCTGGTTAATGTCTTTAGGGATGCCATCACTGATTAAAAAAAAATAAAAATTAAAAAAAAAATTTTTTTTGGTCTTTTTGAGACAGGGTCTCCCTGGTAGCTCCAGCTGTCCTGGAACTCACTATGTAGGCTGGCCTTGAACTCACAGAGATCCGCCTGCCTCTGCCTCCCGAATGCTGGGATTAATATTTTATTTATTATTATTTTTTTATGTGTATGAGTATATTGCCTGCATGTATGTGAGTGCACCCGTGTCGTGCAATGCCACGGAGGTCAGAAGAAGGCTTCAGATTCCCCTGGAACTGGAGTTAAGGATGGTTCGTAGCCAACATGTGGGTGCTGAGAATCAAACCCAGGTCGTCTGCAAGAGCAGTCAGTGCTCTTAACTGCTGAGCCATCTCTGTAGCCCCTGACAACCTCACATCAAGCCTTCTACCACTGAGCAACACCCCTGGCCCAGGTGAATCCCTAATGAATACAAAGTCTGGAATTTCAAACTGTAGCCTTGGTTCTATGACCTTGAACAAATTCAGCTCTCAGGACAATGTCTATCAATGTGAGAAAGGTGAATCAATGCTTATTTTCAGATTTAATATGATTTTATGACATTTCCCAAGCTGGGTATGGTGGCACACACCTTTAATTCCAGTACTTAGGTGGAGGCAAGAGGATCAGGAATTCAAGGCCAACTTTGGGTACATTGAGAATTCAAGGCCAGCCTAGGCTACATAAGACCCTGCCTCAAAAAAGAAAAAAAAATCCCATACTGCAATGTCTTATTTAATTATATTTTCATATTGCTTTGCTTGTAATCTAATATGGTAATTTTTAGACTTAAAGTTACAATTAAATAGTATTTTCTGGTCAGCTAGTAAAGTGAAAATGAGCCATACTTTATTCAAATCTGAATCTTCCATAATACCCATCACCAAGCCTTAAACACAATAACAATTCAATGTATTTCCAGGAAATCATTTGGTATAACTCTTTAAGAAGCTTTATCAGGGCTGGAGAGACTCAGTGGGGACAGGTGCTTGCTGTGTATGCCTGGTGCCTTGAATTCGATCCCTGAAGTCCACATAAAGGTAGACAGAAATAAATAGTTCCATAAAGTTAGCCTTTGTCTTCCACTTGTGTGGTGTGTCATGTGTGTCCACACATACATCACACACATATACACGCAATAATTTTTTTAAGCAGTTTTATTATGTCAGGTATGGTGGCACATGCCTGTACTCCAAAGGCTGAGGCCAGAAGATTTTGAATTTGAGGCCAGCCTGGGTTATATTGTGAGGCTCTGCTTCAAAGAAACAAAATATTGGGCTCAGGGGTAAAGGCACTTGCTGCTAAGCCTGATGATCTGAGTTCGATCCCCATGACCCACATGGTAGAAGGAGAAAACTGATTTCTCCTACAAATTGTCCTCTGACCTCCACATGCACTGTGCCACACACACCCTTACACACACACACACACACACACACACAAAATAAGTAGATAATTGTAAAAAACAAAAGCAGCAGCTTCACACAGGGCCCTTTGGAGTATGTATTTATAAATAAATACCATGTCTTGATATATAGTAAAAACTACGATTATTTTAGTACCACCTGGAGTGATGCAAAACAATGTAAAAGAATGGATTTTACATGAACTAAGGTACAGACTAAAATGTCATAAGCCTCAAGTTTTCCCATTGCCACATGTAAATAAAAACTCCCTTGTAGGCTAAAGAAGTATAAACCAACTCCACTGTTGGGGGAGGCTTCTAGATGCAAGACTTTTATCTGTACATTTTCAGAAACAATGGTGGACTGAGGCATTTGAGTGGGTGATAATCAGATGAATCTAAAGGGAGGGGCAGCAAAGAGACTGAAGGGCAAGAAGTCAGACATAAGGGCAGCAACAGGACATCACCCTCTTAGTAATGAAAGAACAGTGGAAATTCACTGAGTCCTTACTAGAGGTCTACTAGGAGACCAGCATTGGGGATTGGGGGGGGGGGGACGGCAGACAGACACAAAGACCTTCCCTGACCTCAAGAGGAATAACAGTCCTAAGGATAAGACACAGGCCTCTGGACTGTTCTGTATGTATTTAATTCTAATAGGGAAAATAAAGGAGGGAAAGCTTCACAGAGAAGGCGGTAATTTAGTGGAGCCTCTGAAGTGTGGAGAAGGATTTGCTAAGACAGGAAAAAAAAAGCAGTTTCAGCTAGTTATTTTGGGGGCAAAATTTCACATATTTTTACAGCTGTTCATCTGGGACTAAAATCATAGGAAGTGTCTTTGATTCCACACACTCTTTCCCTTTTTATCTTAAATACTGAAAATGTTCAAGACCAGCATTGGTGCAGAGCCAGAAAGTCCCCCAAAAGAGGTGAGTACTGGTTAAATCTGCTCTGTCACCTCCAAGTCCAGCCAGCCCAGCTAGCCCAGTCCCAGCAGCTGGAAAAGGAAGGCTAATTATACCTTGCGGGGGG